AGGGCGGGGCTCTTTTTCACTTATTTTTGTTTCCATAATAAGAAAAAAGTCTAGATCCTAATTCTTAGGGTTGTTCTGAAGAGGAAAAATGAGAATTATACCAAGTTGAGTAGAGTACTTGGGATGTACTGACCTGCTATTCATTTCATTACTCTTATTAATTGCAAGAAGACTACAGCTATTTTGGAGCTGGCCAGGATTAACCTGGTACAAATGCAGCTCCATTTTCAGAGTGACTCCACCTTGTAGGATCTCCATCTTTATTACCTGGTGAAACTGTTCTCCAAATACATCTTATCTGTAGCATACCTTTGATCAAATCCAGGATATATTCTCCTCAAGTTCTTCCAAATTTTATTTAAATCAACATAGGTTGAATAACTGTAACCGATATTCAAACACATTCACGTTGGTCAAAATTCATACTTTATTATTGTTCCTGACAGGAGCTAAAACTTAATTCCAAGCATTTGTAGTTAAGTCTGCAGAGCAGTCTACTCTTCACAAAACACATTCCACATTGAAAGAAGAAAGATGTTTATTTGAAAGGCAAGATAGATTTAGAACTGTTGGATTCTAGAAAGCCCATTTCCCTCAAGCCTAAACTTTGTAATTCCATGTTGAACAATGAAGTTATTTTATACAATCTCATTAAGCAATTTAATCGAAACAGCATTTGGCAGAATAACACATGGGAAAGACATATGGCTCTAAAATAGTATCATTTAAATCCGACATTCAACTTTAAAGATAAGTTGCCCCTAGTAGACTTATAAATATATAATCATGCTTGAAATATGCATAAGTATATAAGGAAAATAAAAGAAAAGCCTACCACATATAAAGGAAACAGTCAAGGAAGAAAAAGTAAAGGAAAAGTTGGCTTTTACCCCCTCACCCCCATTTCAGCATGTAATCTGTGCTCTTTGTCAAGGTTGGTGACAGCCTCAATGTCTCCTTTGGTGACAGTGACAGATGGGCTCATTTAGATTGGATGCTATGACACAATGTTGAGAGTGGCAGTTGATCAGATCCACTCCCCCGCCCCACATCATATCTTTGTGGATCCTATCAGAGCTTGTGGAGAAAGCTGGACTGGGGGAGTTTGAACAAAGTGGAGGTAAAACCGAACTACTTTGGACACTCTTGTCCTGATGTGACAGGCAAGACGTGAGTCCCACTATGGGAGGCAACAGCTCAGGGCTATCGGGCTGACCAGGTAGATCATCAAGATAGTGTAGATGGTGCATCCGGTTGGAAAGATTTTGGATTATATAGCACCTAGAATCTCTGATTTAGGACATTCTCGTCAACCCAGTATACACAGCCGGGCACTGCATGACCACATTTCAATCAATGACAGGCTCGTAGATGATGGTGTTCCCATAAAATTATAATGGAACTGAAAACTTTCCATTGACTAGTGATAGGGTGGTCCTCACTCCCTAGCATAGGAGTGTAACCTCATTATTCATGTATTCTTGGTGAAGAAACTGGTATAAACAGACCTGCTGCATTGTCAGTTGTATAAGAAGGCAGTGCAGTACATCATGCTTGATGATGGTCAATGACTACATTGCCAGCGTGTGTATTTACTATATGCTATCATTTGAGGTGGTTTAATTATGTCTCCCTAAATATCCCCAGTAGGTAGTAGGTTTGAGTTTGGGGAGGTGCTGTGGAACTCTAAGAAGTGAA